GTGGTGGAATCGCTTAATCTAGCAGCGCATGAAGATCAGCCAAATCTCTCTTGATCGTGCACTCTCTTCGCGCAGTTACACACCTCTACAAACGAAATGTAGAGGTTATCGCCGTTGCAAGTTGCATTGCAAGTATCAGTCGCTTATCGACATTGCAAGTTGCATCACACGACTAATTCCTTTTTTCCTCAGTAGGAATTATTCAGGTCAATTCTAGTTTCCTCAAGACTTTATTGACTAGTCAAAACTTTAATTAGTTTTGAGGACGTTGGGAAATTTCATGTTCAGAAAGTTCAAAAATGTATCAGTAAAATCATGGTATTACATGATAATTTTAGATAAATATAAATTTAATTTAGATAAAAAAATAAAATTTAGATAAATAGATATTTCATGATATTACATCAGCAAGTGGCGGAAATGAAGAGAAATCCTTATCAGCACTGTTTTAGAGTACGTCTACCAGCAATTGATCATTTCTGTTTTTGTAAGAAGACGTACTATTCAAAAAATTATATTCATTGTCCTTATCGCGGAAATAACGAAAGTGTGGATTTTTCAACTCGTTTTCAATATTATTAACTCTATTGTGTGACATTTACGAAACAAAAATATTAAAACAATGGTTGCCGGTAATATATAAAAATTGCTTTCTGCACGGTGTTCTCAAAGGAGATGCTTGCCATTCATTAAATTAAAATTAATTTACGAATTTGTATAGAAACAAAAAAAAAGTGTAACTAAAACGGATCTGAAAGAATTTCTAATGTTACCACTTGGTAAAGGGTGAGCTTGTAAATAAACACCAGGCTTACGAGTACTGTAATAGAAATGTGTATATAACCTGTCTAATTAGACGCTAAATATCTTTCTTTTTTAATTTTATGAACATAAGATGTAAATTGTAAGTAGATACTTGCAATAATTGGTTGATAATTATCATTGCGATTTCCGACTTTAGGTGCTTAAATTAAAATTCTAAATCATAGTTTCATAGATTTTCACACACGCGCATGCGCGCGCACACTCCCGCACATTCACGCACGCACATTCTCGAAGCCTGCGAAGTTAAAAGGAAAACGTGGCAACTTCAGCATTTTCTTTGATTACGCAGGAGCCCAGAATGCCATATATTATCGATACTTTATCTTGATAAAGAATGAATTGAAAGTTGTTGCCAAGAAGGCGATTGAAGTGATATTTTCAAGTCTTCTTTGACCTTTCCTTACGTTTGTTTGCCAGCTATCAATGGTGCCATTATTTTTCCCTGTTGTGAATTGGTCAGACATTTGAGCGCGATTGGAGCTGTCTGATGACGAATGTCAAGAGTGATTGCGCATGTATCTGGCTATGATCGATTTGAAGGATGACCCCCCCCCCCTTGAGTGTGCTGTATTACATTGCTTTTCAGTAACGGTTGTGGTTCGCAGTGGGGAAGTAGGTCTAAAGCCCTTGAAGGGCGAAATTTAAATATTGACGATCGCCATACTTTGGCCCGAGAGGAGGTGAGTGATGAGTTGTACGCCTCCATGCCCACCTGTTTCCTAGCTAGATGATCCATGGCGGCTTGTCATTGCCTTTCACTAATGATTATGAAGGATGCATGATTGTGGATGCGATTCGCTGTGAGGTTAATAATATGGTCAGAAGACCACACGTTGTGAGGGACTCGGACTCACAGAATATGACTCCGCAAACGCAAAGCCCCTTTGCCTTCGAGACAGGCTTCTAAATACTACCATTTTTAAAATAGTCATAAAAATATAATACATAATCAATGAATTTATATTCATACGAAGAATAACTTTTCAAAAGGCAATGAAAAATAGAAAGTTGGTATAATAATTACACTAATAATGATTACAATAATAATAATTATTATTATTGTAATAATAATTATTATTATTGTAATCATTATTAGTAATTATTATTATTATTATTACAATAATAATAATAATAATAATTATTATTATTATTATTACAATAATAATAATAATAATAATAATAATAATAATACAGAAATAAAATTTGCTAAATTATCACCAAGATTTGTCGCTTAAAATATGACGTTTAAAAAGATCAAATTGACAACAGCTCTCAACACTTCGACTTTTTAGCACTCGTCTCTGAGAGCCGTATGACCACTGACGTATGTTTTTAACAACTTAGAATGCCAGTGCTTGTAAGCAACCCGAAATTTCGTGTGTGTGTGTGTGTGTGTGTATATACAG